CCTGGCCGCCCTACCGAGAGAGAAGAGAGGGAGTTTGTAAATGTAGCTTATTAGATTACAATTAATTAAGGTTTTTAGTTGAAATAAAAAAGTCAATGGCACGAGTGGGATTCGAACATACGATCTGCGGCTAGATACGCCGCTACTCCACCACTTGAGCTATCGTGACTTCGATCCACTCGGACACTAACTTCCCATCTCAACCGGACCTTTTGAATTTTCCCTCCTTTTTGCCATTTTTCAAATATCGTGTAATCTATTTGATTCTCGGTGACAAGTGAAATGGCCACGGAGAGATTTAGTGAAGATGTACTTCACTTTAATTAATTAAATTCACTAGTTTTCGTGGTCCGCTTGACAAATTAATATCATTCAATTAATTAAGGTTTTAAGTTGAGATAAAAAAGTTCGTGGTCCGATTGACCAATTAACAATTTTCAATTAATTAATATTTATGAAAGGTATTGGTTGAGATAAAAAAAGTCAGCGTCACGAGTGGGATTCGAACCCACGACCTTCGGTTATTAATTAATATTTTAATTAATACCATTAGAGTTCGTGGTCCGATTGACCAATTAACAATTTTCAATTAATTAGTATTTATGAAAGGCATTGGTTGAGATAAAAAAGTCAGTGTCACGAGCGGGATTCGAACCCACGACCTTCGGCTTGATACGCCGCTATTCTACCACTTGAGCTGTCGTGACTTCGATCCCCTCGGGCACTAATTTATCATCTCAACCCCACCTTTTGAATTTTCCCTCCTTTTTGCGATTTTTCAATTGCCAATTTCAATTTTTTCAATGAATTGAATGTAATAATCTATTTTATGTGATACAATTATTACGAATTTTTGGAAATAATTTTTATTACGTTTTCCAAACGAGCGATAATATCATTAAATCACGATAATGAAAAACCAAATGGGTCAGCCGTTTGACTTTAACGGGTCGTTTTCCCCTTGAAAAATAAAATGTGTAAAATTATTTTATATTTTTCTACGGATAAAAGAAAAACAAAAACACAGCAAAAAAATATGTTGACGAGTGTTCAGGTCTCATATTCGCTACGTCAATACCTTTTTTGCCTATTCCATTTGATGTGAACGTAAACCGAGGAAATAACACTGACCCAGTCATATAATATTTACAGAGCCAGAGTATCCACGCGGAGAGGCCTCATATTCTCTCTTTATCTCTCCAGTGTTATTATACATTTTTCTGTCGTAGCCGCTCGAAACGACCCAGTTCCCGCGAAAGTTAACAATCATGGGGATAAACTTTCCCACTTTTTAAACCTATAACTTAAAAAATTTAAGTTTTTTAAAAACAAATAACAAAATAAGTAAAACGTCAAAATTTGTTTTAACCCAACAATTGGACTTTTATAAGAGTTGCAAATGCGTTGGCCCCTTTTGTCATGTTAGATGTAAAGTCGTTAAGACCCGACAAACGCTACAGTAAACAAGAATCGGCCGCATGGGACTTGATCTTTACTGCCTTCTCTACAAACTGACAAGATAATAGATAAACTTTAAGTATTTATCAAAGTTGATAGATATCTTTGTTTTTACTTACTCCGCTTTAATCTATTTTCCTTAAGGAACTAAATTTTAGAACAATTAATAGTTTCATCACATTTTTATTGCTTTTATTTGTTATTTAAAATAACGAAAATATTTAATAATTTTCTTATCCTCATTTGTTCGAGTGAGTTTTAGAAGTAACCCAGTGGATCCATCACCTCGTTTTTAGTTTCGATTTAATCGTCTTGGAGTCTGACATGGAAAATACTAGGTCCTATCCTTTACTCAACGTATATTTCTGACCTCCCTCCCCATCCCGGCACATTCTTCGCACATTTTCACATCGTACTTCAACTTCCAAAAAAGATTATATCACATCGCTCCCTACAGCTTCTATTCAACATAGAACCATGACTGAAAAAGTTGCGGATAAAAATAAATTCAATTAATTAATGTTTTTAGTTGAGATAAAAAAGTCAATGGCACGAGCGGGATTCGAACCCACGACCTTCGGCTTGATACGGCACTACTCCACCACGATCCAGTCGGGGACTAACTTCCCATCTCATCCACACTTTTTTTTTTTTAATTTTCCCTCCTTTTTGCCATTTTTCAAATGTCGTGTAATCTATTTGATTCTCGGCGACAAATGACATGGCCACGGAGAGCTTTAGTGAAATATACTTCATTTTAATTCATTAAATTCACTATTTTTCGTGGTCCTCTTGACCAATTAATATCATTCAATTAATTATGGTTTTTAGTTGAGATAAAAACGTCAGGGTCACGAGCGGGATTCGAACCCAAGCGTCGAAGTCAAGCGGATCACGAAAAATAGTGATTAAAAATAAATGTTGACAAAAGCCAACAGGAAACGTTTTCCTTCCTAAGTGGGATAATGCTGAAAATTCCTTTTAGGTTGTCTTAAAATCTCGATAACTAAAATTCCTCCCTTTCATTAGGTCAAAATTTCTTAGTTTTAACTTAACTTCCCCTAGTACCCCGAANTAGCATCGGGTAAGTGTGTTTCTGGCTTAAAGCGGTAGCGGCCTCGTAGCCTATATGGCATAGTTGTACGACGAGACTATATAAGACGATGTTAAAATTTATAGGCTAGATTTTAGGATCTACAAAAGCAGAGAGTCAGTAGCCTAACAGACACGGTCAAATGGCTGAAGTTTAAAAAAAATGCGCGAAAGATCAGAAAAAAGTAAAAACACGCATATGGCCGGCGATGACTTCAGCTGCTTGTCCGCTCATAACCTCCCCACATTATACAATTAGACAGTTTTGCAGCAAGAAAAAAGGTTCTAAACATACAAAAAAGATGTTCTAACCTTTTCTAACTCTAACTCTGAAAAACTAAAAAACAAAGCATTCCAAAAAAGTTACCTTTTTTGACTGGAGCTTCCCACATCTAGGTCATTTCAGCCTCCAACTAAGTTTATATTCTATATACCCTTTCAAACACTACATCATACAAATAAATACATTCATACACATAAATACATCCATACACATAAATACATCCATACAGTACACTCATTTCGTTTGGTCGGTGGAATACTTGATATTCCTCCACCGACCAATACTCAAACTAATCTAGATTGGGGTTGATGGAGTACTTTTATAAATATTCCGCCATCGTCCCCGAACACACGATCATACGTTCTCAACGTTCGAGGGGCGATGATGACGTTATCACCCTCACCCATTGCCATTCACGCTGATAAATACATGCACTCAGACAAACCATATAGACACAGAACACATAAGACATATTATATACAATAAAAAAAAAACCAATTTCCCCTAAAAAGCGAAACAGAGGACCCTGAAACTCGCTGCAGTGCTCGAGTACCTTCTTCAGATTGGATGGCTTGCCTACATGCACCCTATAGGGAGCCAAGGCATGGCATGGTGTCCGGTATATGGGACACATCGAGCAACCTTTCTGTGCATAAGGGGCACCTGCGCGCGCTTTGGCCCAAGAGCAGATGCCCGTGTGTCAACCGTGTATGGCCTATTCTTAATCGCGTAAGGACGATTCCTTGTTTCCGGCTCAGGTTCTCGGGGGGCCATCTACGAATCGTGCTCTTGACGCGCAAAAGCCTCGCGGACGACCCGACCCACTGACGCTGCCATCTTTCTTTTATCATGGTCTTTACTGCTAACTTGGCGTCAGAGGGCCTGGTCGCGATGGTCCGGTCTGGAGGGTAGGAGGTCCCGGCCTTTGCTGCCCCATCCGCACGTTCATTAACCTCCAGCCCACATTCACGCTAATAAATTGTTTTAAGTCTCAAGACACCATACTCCCAAACCAGATTACTCAACACTCAGACAAAACATATAGACACAACACATAAAACATATTATATACAATAAAAAAAAAAACAATTTTCCCTAAAAAGCGGAACAGGCGACCCTGAAACTCGCTACGGTGTTCGAGAACTCTTCTTAAGTCCGGCGGCCTACACGCTCTCTGTATGGAGCCAAGGCATGACACGCCTATATTGGGACACTCCTCTAATACATCGAGCATTTCTCTGCATAAGGGGCACCTGAGCGCGTTTTGGCCTAGATTACTAGGTTGAAACCTAGTAGTTGTTATTGGCAAAACAGTGAAACGGATCTGAAATGACCTTAGGAGAACCCTCGGCTGTGCACTAAAGACACTGTGTGTATCCCAAAGACTCGATGGTAGAACTTTTGGATAATATCTTCTAGTAAGGTTGAAAATGATAGTTTTAGGAGGAAACTTTATGACAATGCTAATATCGTTATGAGTATATTAACCTCTGCAAATGGTAAAACATCTCGGAAAGAATTACGAAGGGCAAAATTTTAAGCCCATTTGTTTTCCTACTTTATAATGGAAATTGGAAATATTATTGGTATTTTACCAATCATAGAGCAATTTGATAAATACATTTTTTATGAGAAGCTATTTGTTTAATTTATTAAGCATGGGTGATTATACTAAAATAATTGGTACTTTTTTTCAATTTTTTCAAAATTTGTAAATCAGCGTTTAATTTTTCTGTTATGACGGTTTATACGGACTGAACAGTATATATACAAATTGTTAAAATCGTCGGTATGAATATTTGTTTATCAGGAAACGAATCGATTGTCCAAGATAAAACATGAATCGGATTTTTAGACCATTGATGAGTGCGTGTGATAAATTGGCTGATTATTTATTAACGTGTCCATCGACTAATTGGCCTATTGAGTTGATTCAATCCCGCAATAGTTCTATGTCACACTCTCTATCCCCCACGTGATTTTCCATGCGGTTTCTAATAAAGGAAAAACAAAATTTCAAATTTAAAACCAACTCGTTAAAAAAATATTAAAAAATTTAAAAAAAAATGCCGAGGGTGTGTACGCGAAAGCCGTGCAATCTGTGGAGGGGTGGTGTAACCAAGCATCCCTCCAGGATTCATTGATTTTCCCAAGCTTCCCCCGACGCACAGTTCACACTCGGTTCAAGTAGTTAACTAAACCCAAATAATATGTTTAAAGTATCCCAACAGAAGTGAATGTAAAACAGCAGGGGTAGAGATGAGCCAAGTCAGACGTCTTCCACCGGGATGGGACACCAAATGCGAACCGAGGACTGGAAAAAGGTATTCGCAACATTATTAAAAAAAAAATAACCTAGTTCTCTGTAAACCTCTATTATCTTTGTTGGAAGTCTTTAACGATTTATAAGTAACCCTTCAAACCTAAAAAACGCGACGATATTTGTTCTGAAACGTAACCAGATGAATTAACTAAAAAATATACACCAAGTAAACCTACAAAAATGAAACAGAATTGATCATTTGGTTTAAAAATTTATTAAAGTTTTTATGTAAATTTAATTTAATACCCTGGAAAATAGCCTGCAAAACATTTGCACTGTTTTTTTAATTTTTTTTTAAATTTATAAACAGTTATTACCCTTATCGCTCATACCTTTTGTCCTAATTTTTGTTTCACATTTGACCTTCTTAATACAATTTTGATTTTTTTTAACGATTTAGTTTTGTTTGAAGTCTAAGTTTAAAAGGGTTTATTTTTTCAATTCTTCCAAAACAAAAGTGTATGTACTAAATCGTACTATATAAAACTGCAATTGTCTCAGCTATTTTGTGAATTATTTCACAAGACATGTCACACTGGAGGATCCGAGGAATAAGGACCAAGGAGACGGACAAAATCACCACCATCACCTTCCACAAATTCAGGTGAGCTACTGTATATATTACATTGCAATGTAACTTAATAATATGTTTTTATATTGGATCTTCTTTATAACAACACAGGCTTATCAGTATTTATAGTACCGAGTGACAAAATTATAGACACACCCCTGATTGTTATGATTTTTTAATGTTTGGGCTATAATGGGTTTGTACTACAAATATTTATTCAAAACACATGAAATATATTTTTTTCTTCATTAAACTTTAATTTTTCAGTAAATAAGAGAAAAAATTATTAAAATACTAAAATTAAACGATTTTGTCTGCGAGAAAATTATAGACACATGGGATAAAATCAATTTAAAACAAGGTTATAATATTTTGTAGCATTACCACTCAGTTTTATAATTTCCAGTAATCTTTCTGGAATGGTTTTGTACAAATTTTGTATAAAATCTTGAGGCAAATTATTCCAGGCAGTGGTGAAAGGTGTTTTAAGTTCGTCGACAGAGTTGTACTGCTTATAGTCTTGATATATCATCCTCGATAATTTTCCCCATACATTTTGTATAATACAATTAATTAAGGATTTTAGTTAAGATAAAAAAGTCAATGGCACGAGCGGGATTCGAACCGACGATTTTCGGCTTGATACGCCGCTGCTCTACCACTTGAGCTATCGTGACCTCGTGAATTTTCCCTGAAAAATGGCAAAAAGGAGGGAAAATTCAGAAGGTGGGGTTGAGATGGGAAGTTATTGTCCGAGTGGATCGCGGTCACGATTGCTCAAGTGGTAGAGCAGCGGTGTATCAAGCCGAAGATCGTGGGTTCGAATCCCGCTCGTGCCATTGACTTTTTTTAAAACTAAAATCCTTAATTAATTGTAATATATTAATCGGTCAAGCGGACCACCAAATTAGAGAATTTTCTATAATGTTCAAATCTGGTGAGAATGCAGGCCATTCGAGTTTTTCAATGCTGTTCTGTGAAAACCATTCTTTAACAATTTTTGGATTGTGGGTGCGTTGTCCTGCTGGAATATTGGAGTTCTTCGCATAAATGGCTGAAACTAGTTTTTTCTTTGTCCAGTAATTTCTTGTAATATTCCGAATTGACTTTTTTTGGAAGAAAAACAAAGATTCCATTTTTTTATTACACCCAATACACCCCCAAATCATCAACTAATATACCATAACTTTTCGCCAATAATCTTCATTTTTCAAATTGTGTATAAAGTTGTGAGAGCGTGTATTTATAACGTTGTGGGATTAATATTATGGTTATAAAAAATAAAATAAAATAATCAGTCTTTACCCGTTAAACATGAAAGATTCTTATATTAATAACAAATTAATGACTCGAATATATCTTATAAATGGTTACAATTAAATAAGTAAGAAAAAGGGAATATTTTCTTATGATAGAACGTAATTAACTGTAAAGTTATTTTTTAGTTTCCTTTTCTCTGGACAAGTTGTATAGTATAGTGTAATAAACCTTTATGAACGAACACCACTCCACAAGAATTTTTCACTAGAAGTTTTTTTGTCTTGATAACGTCACACATTTTTATTTTTACTTTCTCTTCTTTCTAAAGTTGCATGCGACCGAGTAACTCCAAATCCAGCGTGGCTCTACCTTAGGCCTGCCGCCGTTATCTCGTCTGCCTCCTTAATCGTTGGAGCACTGCCTTATTGATTGTTTATGTAGCTTTGGCGGCCTTTATGAAACGGCTTTGTCATATGTGGTTTAAACCAAATTTGACACGGGCTAGTTTGTGGTGGGGTTGCAGAGCAGGTATCCGTTTCAGTTTTCTTCGGACTATGTTTTCAGTTTTTTTAAGGAATCTCGGAACAGTTCGAACAGAAACATCAACACGTGCCTTCCCTGCGATGGCTTTTGCAGTCGAAAAGCTGTTTGAAGCAACGCGAAGGATGTGCGATTTTTCTCTTCTGGTCAAGGAAGGAGGTCTTCGAGCTATGCCCTCTTCCGTAGTCTTCACCTAGTCGTATCATGTTCGATACCGATGAAAAATTTTGTTTTATGCGTCGGGCGATATCTCGGCAGCTCATTCCATCTTCATTGAGCAAGTGAATCGACCGGCTCTCCTCATCAGAAAATCTTCTTCCTTTGGCCATTTTAAAATAACTTGAATTGCTCCAGATGAACTTACAGTAATCACTTTACTAAGGCACGGTACAGTGAATACTGAATAAACCTTTGGAGTTATAAAATAAACAAAATAATAAAAATGCTGCTAAATCAAAACAATACTGTTTATTGAGATGTACATTTGTATAAGATTATCAGATCAAGCCATTTCCAGAGTTAATTTTCTTTTAATATCATGAACAATATTCTAATGACAAAAGAATTCATTTTTGACTGTTGAAATAGTGATTTTTTAATATGTCTGTAATTTTGTCACTCGGTTGTGTCTTCATTCATGCCAAATAAGTCTATTGATTGTTTATACATATAAATTAATAGAAAAACGTTTTTCACCCAGTGGCAATTGCACAAATATGGTTTTTACCAGAAGAAATAATCATCAACTGCCCACTAAACATTTAATCTTAGCTTATTATGTTATTAAGCTTAATGAGATAACGATGAGCGATTAATTTCAAATCACTGCGACGTCATTAGGGCTTAAAATGGTCAGGTTGTCCTAAATTCTCTTGTACTCTTGTTCTGTATTCCCTAGTGAAAACAGTATCTTTTTTTAGTTATTATTCTACAACAGCCTAGAGCGCTGGAAAGGATTTATGTTGGCTTTATGAATTTTATCAGAACTATTCACTTTCCTTATAAAGGAGAAAATCATGAGGTCATGGTCGCGTTAGACGTCTTGAAAATGTCGGGGGAGGGTTCAAGTAGGTAGGGGACAAGTGGGCTGAGGGGAGGATCTAAGGTTTTATGGAGTCGTCTGCATCGACTTTTTCTTGTTTCGAAGACAAATGATATTTAGAGTCCTGAGTAACTAAGGTTGGAAAGAAAGTTTGGAACTTGGGCAATGGTTCCGACAATTTTGGACTGGAGCGATTGGATTCTTTGTAGTTTGGAACGCTTCGTTGAACACAACAGTCCGTTGGAGTTCAACAACTTGAGCAGATTCGGTTTTATTATTTCGAGTGTCGGAGTTCTAAGTTAGTCGGTCGATGTACAGTCTCAATTACCGGACATTACTTTCTGGGTTGGGAGGTAATAGAATATAGTAGAGATGATAGTGCAAAGGGTGAAGGTTATTTCCTGGTTTTTGGTTTTGTTCCAATCTCCAGTTCTTGAACCATTCTTCAAGACTGTAAACATGGGCTTTGAGGTTTCTGAAAGTCACTGGATCTGAGTTTGTTGCAAAGATGGCGGTATCATCTATATGAGGATTTCTAGGAATTGGCAGGAGTATCTGCTGAATAAAGACTACCACAACAGGGAAGCTCTACTAACAAGCCAATTTTTGAATCCTAAAGTCCCAAAATTTTTTTAATATTTTGCATCGTAAAGGAGTATTTTTCATGTTCATGAAGTGGCAACTTTGAAAGTCTAGCCTTTAACATATTTCGAGTTGTTGCTGGTCATCGAACGCATTTGAAAACAGTGCTCCAGTGTTTTTGTATTTCAAATCGGTTTCTTGACGGTTTTCATCTTTAATTTTTTTCATACACGTTGCGTTTCTGTTGCTGTTTTTGCATTTTGGTTTTTCATCAAGGAGAGAAAAGTTATTTGAGTTTAAGCGGACCAGTTTTGTTATTTTTCGACCAGACTCGCTGGTGTATCAATTGGACATCGATCCCTGGTTATTCCGTACCCCTAGCGTCAATTGTTGATTAAAATTTTTTTTNTCTTCGACTGTACTCGATGCGACCCGACGAAAATCTGGACAGTGGGGATCGCAGAGTGTAGATGTGCACGGGGGTAGTGCAACCTTATGGAAAATCGGAGTTTGGATTTGCTTCGGGTAGCATCGGTTAGCGTCGCATGGCGTAGCATCGGGTAAGTGTGTTTCTGGCTTTAGCTGTTGATACGGCGCCCATCACTGAAGGTAAAGGTCCCGGGTTCGAATCCAGTGGCCCTGTACTCAAACTCGACATACTCACAAATGGGCTTTTTTTCAAAAACATCGGCACCCCGAGGGTTGATATAACCTCTGCTGTTGCGAACCTTCGAAAAAAAATGACGATGTCACATCTGAACGACGTGATTACCGGTGGAAATAAAAAATTGAGTTTGCTTATAACTAAGGAAGATTTTAATTCGTCAAGAGAGAAAATCGGGGGATGGAAGGGAGAAAAGGCTCAACTTCGCAATGAATTGAAAAAAAAAAAAAATTATGAGAGCAGTTATGGTTGATCATTTAGACTATAAGACATGTCGCTCGAACTTAGATTCAGGGGCTTAAAGAAAGGGAGAGAGAGAGAGAGAGAGAGAGAGGGAGAGAGTGAGAGAGAGAGAGACAGAGAGTGAGAGAGGGAGAGAGAGACAGAGAGTGACAGAGAAATAGGAAAGTCGATAGTAGTTGATAATGTTGATCCAAGTGCGTTTTATACAGATATCTCATCTAAAGAAGGATAAGAGCACAAGGAAATGGAAAAATAGAAAAGAAAGATAGATGATGAATGGACAGATAGAGTGAGTGAGAGAGAAATCGAGAAAAATAAAATGATGAGAAAGAGCTGTAGTTAGAGTAAGAGGAGGAAGAAAGTGAAAAATAGAGAAACGAAAGAGACAGTTTTGTCAAAGGTAGAGGAAAGAGAGAAATAGAGAGAAAAATAATATATGGTTAAAACAGACGGAAAGTTGTAAAATAGAAAAGAAAATGAGTGGTAGAGAGAAAGAAAGAGAGAGAGAGAGAGAGAGAGAGAGAGAGTAAAGTGAGAAAGAGGATTTGTATATATATGCGTGATTATTGTCGTCTTGTGTTTAGCTTCAAGAGGCTTTTAGACGGATTATAAAATATTAGAAATTTTTCCAAATGTTATGAAATTCAATGTCCTAAACATTCCTACAATAAATAGACAAAATGAACCTTTATTAATACTATTTTATATGCATTTTGCTTTAAATATTCATACATCGTTGAAAAAAAATTCTTTAAATACAATTTTCCTTTGCTTATATTTTAAATAAATTCAATAAATATGTTATCATTTTAGTTCCAAAGTAAAGAAACATCATTCCAGTCGTCATCTCCACATCTTATTTTCCTACCCTCTCACAATTGTGGGGTTAAACGCTATATTTTTATGGTTCCAATATTGCCATCGGGCACATTTACATTTCCCATGCCTTAATAATGGCCATTGTACAGGAAAATGTACGAGGAGGAAGGCACGTGCCGTTTATGGGAGCATCGGCCGTACAATCCAATACGCAGCACTCGCAACAGATCATCCTGGCAGAAACGGTCCAGAAAATACGGTCCATGTTTCCCACTGTTCCTGAGACACATATAAAAGCACTTCTACTTAAGTAAGTACCCTTCTGAGATATAAATTTACTATTTTACCACACATTCTAGCACGTTCTCTTTACTGAACTTAGACGCTTCCAGATGATTTTATTTATGGCTGTTTCCATATGAAATATCTAATGCTATCTTATGCACACGCAATATTTGTCAAATTTTAAAGTCCTCTTACTTTAAGAATTACACAATATAGCTTATTGAGTTGCCACCTTTTTTTAAAGGACATCAACTATCATGTATTTTTTTCACTATATCTCTTCTTTTAATTGTTTTTCTTACCAAACAGAGGAGCGTTTTGTTGCGTGTTCCTACCATCCCACACGTGGTTTGTTAAAAATACTTTAATATTTACACACTCACGCTAAGAAATTGATTACTTAATCTACATTTGGCAGGGCTCAGAGTACAGATGCAAGACTGAGGTCTTGCCCCTACAACTAAATAAAAAGTCGGTAAGATAGTCATAATCCTACCGACTTCCTTCCATTCGTGTTAATAAATACATTCATACAGTATGTACAGAATTTTATTCATCCATTAGACCAATTTCTTTTTGATGGGCTTGTGGAGTACTCGATATTCCTCGACATCCATGTCCACTTACACAAAACATTCACGCTAATAAATACATTCATAATGGAGAATTCGCAGCACCTCGGCAGTATTATTACAACCTTGATAGCAGCGACCTNTCGGCAATATTACTACAACCTTGATCTGTCACATCACCCAACAAATGTATAATTACCTAAACTAATTTGGCGGGCCTGTGAGCTACTCGATATTCACTCACAGCCACACCCAGACATCATTCATCATCACTCATCGCCCACGCTAATAAATACATTCACACTGAAAAATGGAGATATACCAGTATAGTTGGTTATATGTATTTAAGTACCTAATAAGATTATCTTTGAAGTCACTTTTATGCTTAAGAATTATTTCCAGATTAGATGGTAGGTCACCCCGTTCTCGGTACTCTCTTAACTTATTACCGGGATTCCAGAGAGTGGGCAGTTTTTGACTTGTTTTTGACTTCTACCCACTAATAAGTGACCTTGCGTGAGACGGGTGTGACCTATTCGCAACCTCGTTAATATTATTTTGTTACGTTTTTCCAAATTTTCCACGGGGCTTGGCCTCACTGTACTTTCATGTATTTTTAGTTTTTCATTACATTCGTTCCAGCGAGCCTGCCATTTACAATAAATCGAATTTTTCATTTTTGTTTTTAGACCCATCGGGCTAATTGGGGACTCGGGGTCATGTGGGGTCCCAGCCGCTTTCTTAGTGATCTTGTCTTTCATGTTGTCAATTTACAATAAAAACTTTCTGTAAAATCGTAATTCACGAATTTGAAGGCTAGGGAAATTAATTTTAAATTTTCGTGAGATAATTATGATGTTTTATCAAAGTTTGTATACTTAGCTGAATTTAGTATAAGTTGAAAACGCTTTCAATCTAAGCAAATGTTAGGCACTTCGACAAATGTAAACGCCATTTACGAACACCTCTAAGTTATTCTGAAAGTTCCAACTTGTCGAATTGTCCAGATATCTGAGTAGTTTGAAAAACTTGTAACTTAGTAAAATGTGCGTTTAAAGTTTAAACATCGCCACATTTGATGATAAAAAATGATAAAAAAATAACAAAAATGTATAGTGAATGAGCACATAAATGAAATAAAAGAGCTTTCAGGTAATTAATATGTGCTTCCACGATCTCACTATGTTGCAATTACCATATTACATTCTCCCAGAGGATTTTACCAAAAAGAATTTATGTCTTTTGTATTTTTATTCAACAGATCAACTTTTTTTTTATAAACGTGAGTATCTAACTCGTTAGAAACCCAATGTTTTAAATGGTAAATTATTGCTCAGGTTCATAAGTGTATAAGGTTCGAGAGGTTCGCATGATTGCTTCATCGATTCTCCGTGAGGTAAATCCAGCACTTGTCCGATAAACTGGCTGATAACGTCAAACGATATCTTTCCTGGAAATCGGGGATCATCCAGTGGAGCGATCCGGGTCAGCCCGTCGTATTTCATCAGAGGGGAAAACAGAACAATCATCCGTGATATCAGTGTTTTCATTCCGTCTTTCACTCCTTTACCATTGGATTTCAATGAAAACATTAAAAGTTAGAACCAAGTGACAAAAAAGACGGATAATTTTTCTTTTTATAATTAAATTTCCTGGATTATTATGAAAGTTTAATAGCTTTATAGAGTTATACTTGATTTATCCTTCTCCCTTAAGGATCTTGGGTCTAATTAAATTTAACCTATTTGCAACTGTTTCGGAATTGAATGGAATATGCTTAAGTCGGCGATAAATTAAATTAAATAAATTAAGGAAATATAATAAGAAAATGAAATAAAATACACCAATTATAAACTGTTTCCCTTTTTCCACGAGGGATTCGGTAGGAAATAGGAGACGTTTGAAAATTGCGGGAGGCAACCTTTAACCACAGTGATTAGCTTATCCAGAATATTTTTTCTGACAAATATAAAGAACAACGAGGGCCCCTTCAGCATTGATCAGCTACAAGACAAATCAGGTCTGCGTTATTGACTGACAAAATCTGACCGGAAACGGCATATCATCGCCTGACATCGTCTCAACGGTTCAAAGTCCGAAGTGGCGTAAAAACCTATTTGCAATCTGCATTTCCTCCTCGTACAAATATAATTGATGCACCTTATGCAGAACATGTAAAACAGTGGTACTACACTAAAAAATCTTAAAGTAAACAATCGCCAGAACAATTAATTAAGGTTTTTAGTTCAGATAAAAAAGTCAGTGTCACGAGCGGGATTCGAACCCACGACCTTCGGCTTGATACGCCGTTACTCTACCACTTGAGCGACGTCGATCCACTCGGACACTAACTTCCCTTCTCAACCCCACCTTTTGAATTTTCTCTCCTTTATGCCATTTTTCAAATGTTGTGTAATCTATTTGATTCTCGGCGACAAATGAAATGGCCACGGAGAGCTTTTAGTGAAGATATACTTCATTTTAACTTATTAAATTCACTAGTTTTCGTAGTCCGCTTGACCAATTAATATATTTCAATTAATTAAGGTTTTTAGTTGGGATAAAAAAGTCAGTGTCACGAGCGGGTTTCGAACCCACGATCTTCGGCTTGATACGCCGCTGCTCTACCACTTGAGCTATCGTGACTTCGATCCACTCGGACACTAACTTCCCATCTGAACCCCACCTTTTGAATTTTACATCCTTTTTGCCATTTATCCCTCCTTTTTCATCTCAACTAAAAACCTTAATTAATTGAAAGGTATTAATTCGTCAGCGGACCACGAAAACTAGCGAATCGTCTGAACATTACCTCTGCTACTGAGATGATACTTCGAAACATTTCTCAGGACATACTATTTTGGAAAATATTATACAATGCCTCCTAAGTACCACTAGTTTTCCTCTCTTGTGGAAGTATTTTGTATTCTCATTTCTAAAGCTTAGGAACTTCCCAACCACATTTCTCCTACAGACCCATCGCTTTTCTTCCTTTATGTCCAAAACCCTCGAAAGACTTCTTTTAAAACTGTAAATTCCCATCCTTGAGATACATAAAATCATACTTAATCACGCCTCTGCTTACCTCCCAAAAATTCCACGATCCAGAAAGGTTTTACAATTGTTGACACCATTTCCTCTGCACTAGACAACGATGCTTTAATGTAGACTCGGCTTCCTAGCGAAAAAATCCTCTTTCTTTCCATATCCTTGAACCCCATTTAACTGACCACTGGTTCAGAGTGTGTGTGTCGCAAAGAATATCGGACGTCTCGCAAGGGAACATTTCTGATCCCATCCTATAAACCATTTACACTACTGGCCCTCTGCAGTCATCGCGAATCTGGCTTATAAACCGAATCCAATCCAAACCTCCAACATCCACCTTGAGTTTTCAAAAACTCATGCAAAAAGAAGTTCAAAACTGAATAAGAGAAAACACACCCAGTTGGCTGTGCGAAAAGGTTGGCCTTCAAGCAGTCTGTGGAATCTCTATACAAGAGTTAGGAAGGGAATCGTATACGTTTCCTACTATCCCCTTATAAAATTATCGTGGAATCCTATTTAAATGAGCTTAATAAAGACGTCGGCCCAGAAGGGAAACATTCCTGGTCATATCCTATAAACTATTTATCCTACCGACCTTCCTATACATCCTAGCACCATCATTAACACCTATAGGTTCGAGGTCCTGAACAACTAACAACACCTTGGATAGTTTATACATAGTGAACATCATCAAGTAAGAGGACATCCGCTCAAACCAGATGGCTACTTAAAAAGCGCGGGATCCCAATGGAATACTTAAGAGAACTTCACGGAAACGTAAAAACGAAGCCCTTTAGAGACTGAAGATATGATGTTTGTTGATCGACCTGCAAATATGTGGAGTTTCAATCTTCATGGGGGTCATTAGACAGGTGAAGAAAGGAAAAGATTAATTGTTGGGTTCACCAAGCTTTCGGCAACTTATAGTGCCATCATCAGGGCTTTCCCAAGAGTGCAGAAAACGATTAACACGGTAAAACTATTGTCAAAACCTCTTGGGTTTAAGGTTATGAAGCACATGGCCAGCAAATTACATTTAACATGGTGAAAACAGTCATCTCACTAATAAAAATTCATATGATTGTGGTTTCAACAATTTTGTTCTGAATAGCAATTTCTTATAGGTAACAGAGTATTTTGAGTAGAATTGTAACATAAAGACTATGTACATAGGATTAACAATTAATGAGAGAAAGCGCAACACCGTCGCCTTAGGTTGGACTGTTATGAGACTTTAGGAAATCTGTTTTCTTCGTCAAAACTCAACCGTTTACAAGTTAGTACTTCAACCATTTTGGAATTACGGTGTGGCACTTTTTCCGCCGACCAATCCCATATCCAGGGTATTCATTCTTTCAGTCAAAAGCTTTAAATGACCTCATCGCCCTCTTAATCCCTCGTATTGAGTGCCGGCGTTGGCTGGTTCCTCTTTAGGTGTGTCCTCCTGATCATGTTGCCAGTGTATTGATCTATTTTGTTTTTTTCTGACCCT